AGGCGTGTTGGGCGCTCACTGTTTGACCATAACTGACATGACCTGTGGCCGGAGGAAGTGGCCGTGCTAAATTTCGACGGAAGTTAAAAGGACCATGCCGAGCAATGTGACAAGTAAAACTCTGCCGTTAACTTGGTACTTGGATAATCAGATGATATGACCAGGACCCACGCGTCAAGTACTGCTTAGAGTGAGTGCTGATCCCACAAATCCTGGCAAGCAAAAGGTTCGGGCAAAATAGTAAAAATGGCTGATATATATATATATATATATATATATATATATATATATATATATATATATATATGTATATATATTCATAATATCATTATATTTTACGCAAAGAATGTTCGATGCATAACGCATGCTTTGCATTTGTATTCACCATCGTAAGTAAACGAAGTTGTAGCTTTAAGAGTATATGCAATGTGGAGGCAAACGAGGGATGAGCATTCATGTATGCATTGTTCATAGCAGGCGCCCTCAATACGCACATCCCAGTTGTCCCTTATCGGTACACGCTATTTCGATTGACATGAAATGACCACAGACTTCGTAGCAAATGCGTATGAGTACGCGTACACGCGCCGATCGCCCGTTCTTAACACGGGCGCACGTTCTCCTCTTGAGCTATAAACGCACGCTACGCTTCGCTAACATTATGCGCACCGGTCATTCCTAATGCCGTGTACGCGCCCCTCTCTCCTTACTGCGCCTCAGGACTACCTGGTGCCGGACATTCCTCTCAATGCAGTGTTTGAAAATGTGTGTAAAAATGTCTTCCCATTAGACAATGCAAGCATGTTTTGCTTTTGGACTCAGATTCATTGCTCGTAAAGGAAATAATTGTTGCACTGTTAGATAGTCTTCCTGTCCGTAAAAAGTAAATAGGTCTGTTTATTCAAGCGTAAAACAGAAGGTTAGAAAATGCCCTCCTGTGATTGAAATAGGTAGTATCTCAATAACTGCAGGATGGGAACATCTCAAGAAATGATTCAAGAAAAGATAGCCATGGCCACCAGCTTAAATCTAGCAGGGAAAGCGTCGTTACAGAAAGTTCTTAGGTGTCCAAAAAGGCGTCCGGTGTGTGCAAAACTAGGACACGCTACCCTAGATGTGCATACATACAACATTGATATACCTACGATTATGATCTTTCATCAAGTATGATTTCCAAGCGTAATGTTGCAAGCTCTTCAACCTCCAGATCTTACAATACCGGCATGCTAGATGAAATTTGGTGATACGGCCGACTTAGACGCAAGGGCCTGACATTCAAAACATGCTTGCGGTAGCGGTTCGCCCTCGTACCGCCACAGCTGGTGGCAGATGATGTGACACCGATGCGAACGCCATCTGCAGGCGTCGTTAAGTGCCTGAAGATTATTGGTGTCATCGAGCATTTCCAGTTTGCTTACCTGTTGATGGAAGCAATCAGTGCCAGTTTGTTTACCTGTTGTGCGATTTCAGATTACGTTCGGCCCATCTGCCTGCCGTTCGACGCTTCAGTGCGGAGAGCACATGTGGGCCAGGAGCTCACTGTGGCCGGCTTTGGCGCCAGTGAGTATGGATGACTGCCCCGCCCACTGAGTGGGAGAACACGTCGCTGCGTCCGGAGGATGCATTTCACCCCCATTTGTACGCCGATAATGGGGCCCGCGGCGGCGTCACTGAAGCCCGGATACGGAGATCAAAACAGCGTCGAAGTCGGGCCAGTGCCGGACGTGCAATGACAGCGGGCCAAGGGCGATAAAGGCAAAATTATAAATATGGCCTCAGGGTGTGTGTTCGTTCATGGAAATTTGGGAGCTGTCTGGTTTAATTATTTTGCGATGCTTTTGCTTAGGTTGGTGTATATTTCAAGTGCCAGATTTTATACTTGGACGATTTACATTAAGTACGTTGTGAAGCACGCAAATTTTATTTTGGACCCGCACGAATTTCCATAGTTTCTTGTTTGATAAATATCTGGACATGAAGATGCGTGTAACCGAACATGCCCACTAGATATTTTTACCAAACAACGCAGCTTTTGTGCAAGTACCCTGATTTGATGGTGGAGCTGCGAAGTCATTTGGGGGCTTTTGCATCTAAGCCTTCATGTATCTTATCAAACAGCGATAGCCTTTGCCGCGGTTATTGTCTTTGAGACACCGAATCACTGCACATTGGCATATGTACGTGAACGTAGACGCCTCTTCTTAAATGTAACGTAACGGAATCGGTCTTGAAAATTGCGGGTGACATCAGAACACAATAAGCTGGGTGATAATGATGTGCATGTTCACCACATCCGTGCGATTTGTATTCGTCCGTGGTGACTCGGCAACTCGTCTGTTCCAGTTCGCGGCCAAGGCGACACCGTGCGCGAGCTGACCGTGCCCGTGGTGGGCAACAAGGAGTGCTCGCAAGTGTACCGGAGCTACAGGACCCTGATCGGAGCCGAGCAGATCTGCGCTGGCGGCGAGCGCGACCGCGGCGCGTGTGCCGGCGACGCCGGCGGGCCGCTCATGGCCATGCCCGCGCCCGGCCAGCCGCACTACCTGATTGGCGTCGTCTCGTTCGGCCCAGCCCGCTGCGGCACCAGGAACGTGCCCGACGTGTACACACGCGTCACCGAGTACGAGCAGTGGATCGTCAGTAACATGCGCGACTGAGGGCCGCGGCGGCGGCCACTGCTGGGTGGCGCGGAGGGGACGAATGAGACTGCTGTCGCGCGTCGGCAGCAGGCAGCGTGATTTGACTCCGGGCCTCCACGGAGCCAGGCCAAAACTCCACACAGTCTAGCAGGGTGATGGGTTGGGGTCATTATGCACTTCGAGTAATGTTATAAAAGCGTAGGCGCTAGGGTTGAAATGGATTCTCATTCTAATCCGTCGTTGAAAGGTGCACCGTGGCACATGTGGTTTAGAAGTCGCAGTCAGGGCCCTAGCTGCGGCTGTCCCAGCCGGGTGGAGTCGTCGAGCCAGGCTCCTCGCGCCTACACAGCACAGCTGACGGTGTCGGCATGGCCCGACTGGCGGGACCACCTGGACGACGGTCAGTCTTGCGCGGCGTATCAAATTATGCTGATCGTGGATGTGAATCTCACACTGCGCTTTATCGGCTGCACTTCTACATGGTCTGTCGCGCTTAGGACTGAGCTGATTTGACCGATCTGAAGGTGAGCCGATGAAACCGAACCGGGACTTGAATGCCATGACCAAATTGTTCATTGGTTGACAATTTTTATCATTACAAGCTCGTATTAAGCGGCGGCAGTTGGTTGGCCTTCTGTATAAGTTGTTAAATGTTTAGTAACGAGTCCAAATTACGAACATTGGCATTTGCCATGGGAGTCCACGACCCCCCCCAGGAGGACGAGCCTTAATCTGTAGTACACCCCATATCATTACACCTGCGGAGCTGGCCTCCGCGCGTCTGATCGCAGTTGAAGCAAGGCCGCTTTACAAAGGTCGGTTAGCTGAAATGCGAGACACGTCATTGGACATCTGATGCCATGCGGGGCATGGCAGCGCGTTGGCCCCGTGTCCTGGTCGTGGTGTGTAGATGAATGGTGTAAACGCAGTGACTTTTGTGCGTGACTGGGAATACAGTGGAATTACATCCTGTTTTGAGCAGATGCTGAATGCGTGAGGATGCTGTTTTTATAGTCCAGCCGTTTAATCCTTGAAGGACCAGACCTGCTGGCTAAAGGAATAATCACTCGTCCAGGGCCTGCTCCAAAACCCCATTGAAGTCACCAGAATGAAATATCTAAACCAGCATTTGCTTGGAATGCCATCCAAATGCACACCCGGACATCGTACAAAACCTGGTATCGACATTGGCTCTCTATTTTCAACTCCATAGAGCTTGGCGGCCTTTGTGGGCACAACCAACACCGCTAGTCGATAGCAAACTTTTTATTATAGTTATAATACAATTGCCATAGCCTGCGTTTGCCGTTTGCCATGCGCTTTGAATAAATTCGAGGATATTATTACGTGCTGTTTTACATGCATGCGCTTCCAAAAATCTCCTTAACAACGATGGGAATTAACACGAACAACAGAAATAACACCAACAACATCGCTTGGTTTGGGGTCAATTTGCACCCCCGCCCCCCTCTCAATTGAAGGTTTTCCCGAGTAACTTCCGAGCGTTTGGCGTCTTAGCCGCGCCACACCTTGTCAAGATGTAAGTGACCGAATGGACAAGTTGATGGCATGCAAAAATTGGATGATATAGTAACAAGAGGTAGAATTAAACAAGATGTTAATAGATGTAGTAGACGAGATACTCTGTAATCTTTGCCCAAGTAGACTTAATGTATGGGAGACAAAACGTTGCATTCGCGACCTTTTCAATAAACACCTCGGAGACCAGCGCAAGAGTGTACACATCACTTAAAAACATGACCGATCAACACTCAGCTATGGAACGGGGCGCGACAAATACCGACCTTAAAATAAAATTTTCAGCCACAGTTAAGACAATGAGGACCTCAAGATCTTAAGATCGTTGCATATTTGAAATCTTCGCCCTAGGCTGAACGTACAGACTTCAGCATGGGACATGGCGAAAAGCAACACTTAGGTTATGCACGTTTCTGAGGTTCCGGCAATGTTCGTGGTGGCTGGCACGCAGTAGGTAATGCTTTTACGTCATCTGTGTCGGACTTTGTAAGTCTCCAGCTTACACGCCTGTACTGGTGTTTTGTTGCGCTTTTAACGTGAACCTGCATACAGGATGTTGGGAGCAGGCCTGCAAAAGTGCCTGTTCCGACACCGACGAAATTTGGAGCTGTATTGTTACCGGGAGTCAAATCTTTCAGAAAGCGTTGCAATATATCTCTAGATGCAACAAACCACAAAAAGCAAAGACAGATTAATTGCAATGCGGCATAACCATCAAGCATTTTCGTTTCGGGAGTTCATTTGTACAAAAGCTTCATTTGCTGGCCAGCACACACTAAATGAAGGTTCAGACTAACCTAACATAATTATCATAGTTAAGTTTTTTATTTACATTTATCATATCATTAATTATCATAGTAGAGTTTCGTCGAGCTGGGATAATCTGTTGTAATATGGTCTTGCCTGCTGAATTTGTCTTCATGTTCGCAATTTTGCCGCCAGTTAGTGCACAAAAATATAAGTTTTTGTCACCGATCACGTCCGGTAAATCAGAGGCCTTTCCACCACTGATCGAGAGCTTGGGTGGCATACCTTTTTAACATCATTTAGTGTCAGTGCCTGGAAGATTGGGGGTTTTCTGGATTCAGGCGTCTTTTTTTTGCAGCATAATATCTTGATATGTTTTTGTTAAACTATCCTGAGCCCTTGTAACTCTTGAGGATGAGGGCAGCTCAAAATATTGAGCATTGCCATTAAAATCACTATTTCGTGTTACGACGTCATTTAACCAATATCTCCTGCAATGTTCAAGGTATCTAACTTATCAGAAATGATTTTCAACTCATGACGCCGAATGGGCTGAAACCACAGAAAACAATTGGTAAATCAACCGGTTGTGATCAAGGAAAATATGCGTTGTTTTTCGTCTCTCGACCGTAATCCAAGGCGCAAAAGTCACTTAAATGCATAGTGGCATGACCCAAAGCATAAAGACCAGAGGCTATGGGAATTTTGTCGTGTACACTGCCAGAATGTACTTACAAGTAAAATCAAAACTGAGCTATGCGATCTTTTCAACAGACATGTCCATAACTAGAAAGGTAGAGTAGATGAAAGTTGGTGACCAATCGGGGCATCAGAATAGCCATGTGGGCCAAAGATATGACCAGCGCTCGGACACGTGTTGGAAGTTCATATAAGCAAGAAATGCCTAGAAATTGTGCTTCAGCGTTATGAGTTCGGAGCTCCTTCTCATCTTGAAGATAATCTATCTTCAGTATGGCGGGAGGTCGCGGTTAAGCAGCGATATTGAGTTTGGAAGATGCGCTTATGGTTGGGTTTCCTTGTAAAAACAATCAACACCACCCTAGTATTTATCTCACTCACCGCACAAAATGTGTTTATTCCATTCATAGACACCCTTTTTGTGATACAACCAGATGGACAATATGTCATCGAGCTGCACTTAAAGCCCTCCCACCCAGAAATGCCCGTCGGCCTGTCCCGATAACTCATTTGGTTAGAGCGACTGCTTTCCGATTCGCCCATCAGTAGCGGGGTGGGTTCGAGTCGCTTGAGGTGTTCGCCATTTACCCGTGGCTGGCATAGGCTGCAGTCTGTGGCAGGGCCCGCGCTAACGGTTAAGTACCGTCAGAGGGCAGTTGCACCGTGCCGAACATTGCTGCACTTTAAGCTTTCGCCGCGCGATTCTGCCGTCGATTCTGAATTTGACAGTCGAATGGTAGTCTAGGAAAGACATTCAGCTCCCGCTCTTCCGGCCTTATTAGTTGAAAATTATGATGTTGTGTTGACGACCTTCAATATACCAGGAGATTCTGGTTAAGTGGCGTTTTAATGTTAACGAATAATGGTGTTGACTGATTTTTTCTCATAATATAATAGTGATTTGGCATTACAGCATCGTTAACACGCGCCCGGGTAGCCGGTTGAATATCCATCGCTCGGGTAAGGGTCAGTTTAACCCGCTGAGATCTCAGGAACTAAGAGAGATAGAGACACAGAATTACAGAGTGCATTGGCCTGTTCGTGGACGCACTGGCATCAAAATTTGACGTTCCTAGGTCATTTTCTTCAGCTTGAATAGGGTCAAACAGGGTCAAACTCCAGATCGGTGTCTTAAGTGACCCCACAACTTAGGCACATGTTTTAAGCAAAAGATCACTGGTGCTCATTTACGGTCAGTGACCATTTTTGACCTTTCACAGATCACGGTGACCAAAATCATACAAGACTGCTTTGAGTAGCATTTGAATAGCCGTCAAAGACTTCGCTAAACAGTATCTTCCTACAAACGAAGTGTAGACCCTGGTCGTTTTAGGTCAGTGACCTACACTGACCTTTGAGAAGTCTATGGAGGATGTATAATACGGTTCCTGTTCTCAATATTTTCGAAATGAACACCAGAAACTACCATGCACAGCAAGCCCTAGAGTAACAAAGCAGGCTGGTTTTAGCCTTGGAATGACCTTGATATCTGACCCTAGATTGATGAAACTTGTTCATTTAATTGTTGCGTTGCCTAAGGAACTATCTGAGAGATGTGTGGTTTCGTTTAACACTTCGTTATTGCATCAAACTGAACGAGTACCTAGAAATTGTCTTTGCTGAATCCATGGCCTGACTTTGAACTACCATCAGTCAGCGACCTTACAAGCCGACTCTAAATATTTGATACCGAACGATCCGCCATTCAACTGTCTACAGCTAAGCAAAATTTGGCGCCGCTACGCCGCTCGGAAACATTTCCTTTAGCTCAACCTAAGAACTTTCACCTCATAATGTCTTATGGTGACATCAGCGCTTACGCAACCAGCGTTACTTAGCGTGGGCGCACATCCCAGGAATTCATTAAACCAAAAGCTTCCACCTAAACCTTAAAAAACCCATGGCTTTAACGCATTGCATTTCGGCATGCTCCATGACTACTGAGAAAGCGGTCTTTACATTTCAAATGCGGATAGTGGCGTGTGTGTCTTCTGATCTCCAATCGTGTGAACGTTGTTGCGCTAAAATAGCCATATTTTGCGTGAGACCGATTACCCGGAACATTGAGTGAATTCTTCCGATTGTGCCCCACTTTCTAGTTTACCGATACAGTTACACCAGGTTCACAAATAATCCGTAAAAAGGAAAAACGAACAAGCTGTCAAATGAAATGACGAACAAATGAAAAACGAACAAATGAAACTACCGTAAAAACAGTATGACTCATTAAACATTTATCCAACGTTTTATTCAACAGTGACCAGTGGGTTTCTCGAACAACCAAAACTGTGGTGACATTCGACTGGCCGTCCAATCGTAAAACACGATAAAAAACAAACGCGGCCGCCAGTGATCCCACATTCGTCAAACCCTGAATTTACAGAAGGAGCTTCCTGGAGGATGAGAACGAGGAGACCCTGTCAGCAACCCCTCCTAGCGCTCCATCGTGACTGTTATGATATAGTTCTGGGCGGCCCCGGTTGGTGCGACTTCACGTTATTGTGTTGCTACGCTTCTGGGCGGCCCTGGTTGGTGCGACTTCACGGGACTGATCGGAACTCAGCGGCCTCAGCAGGGCTGGCATACACTGCACACGCCACGGGCTTTGTTTAATTGGTTGAAGGAGCATTTCCCCTAGAATGTACATCAGGTCAAAACTGCTGTGCTGCGGTGGCCCCCGCCCGAGCGGTGAGCATCCCGCCGGCCACCTCGGCGTGTGGCAACCTGGGCCACACTGTGCTTTAAACAGCTGTCGCATGTTACAGTCGATTTGTGTTGCCGTTGTGGTCCGCTTGTATTCTCTCGTGGAAGGCCTGCCAACATTTACAGACTGACATGACGTATGTGGGAGTTGGCCCGACAGTAACTTGACGTATGTACCTACAGCATGTCACTGGGTGCAAAATGAACATTAGGCAAGACAGTTGTAATAACCTTATTCCTGGAACAAACAGGAGAATGGAGAAACAATATCAGACGTTAAAGTGTTATCCTTCTTAAACAATAGCAGAATTTAAGAAATGTTTCGATAAAGGCATGTTGCCGAAATATCAACCCATCTACATCTCCATTCTCCTGGTTTTTCTCCGAGGAATAAGGCTATTACCACTGTCTAATTTATGTGAATAATGTTCCTCGTAAAAGCACTGAACAATTTACGTAAAATGAGCATCATATTAAAAGTGATATGTTTAGGTACCTATTGTAGCAACAGTATCCAGAATTGCGAGGGGGAGCTCAAAGAACCAGGAGGGAGAGGCTCAAGTCAGCACTGGAGGGTAAAGACCCATCCCCCCCCCGGCGAAAGTATAGCAAGTGATGTTCCTGATCCCAAGACAACGCCAG